AAATATGCCCATTTAATTTAAAATATACATTTTTATGAAGAGTTACCGTATTACTGTCAATAATTAAAGACATTTCTATGACCATGTAATAAGTCCCTCGTTACGGAATCGTGCACAACTTTATTTACGTTTAATAGAACTTCTTAAACATGAAAGTAGTTAAAGCTTTGAAAGTATGGCCACAAAACTCTTGTTTTGCATATACCAACAAATTCACTGCTTCACTACCAATCTTTAAATTTATCTACGTCAAATGATTGCTCTGTTTGAAAGCTTGTTGAGAACTATTCAGCAAAAAAAGATCAGAAAAAAAAAAAAGAATCGTTCAATTTTAGATGAGCTAAAAGAACAAAAAAGAAATGACAGGAAAAAGATTTAACGTCGAACTTGTTAACCATTTTTTGTCTTTTCGATTTGCCCTTTTAAATAATATAGTTATCGATTTTCAATTTCTTTTAGAGACAAGAAAATCAATAAATACTAGGTTACACATATTCTTAAGCTCTTGAAGTTCATTTAAAGTTTCCGTGTAATATATCGATTAAGAGTTTTAAAGCATATGCTTATAATTGTGAATGAAATGTTTTACATTTTCTGATCATATAAAAGACAGAATTCATATCCTGCAACTATAGTAAGGCAATAAAGTAGTTTACTAACGAATTCGTCTAAATATTGAATCTTTTGGCACCAAACCTCTGGCAATCTGTCCGCACTCCCTTCTCAATTTTGTTTTCGTGGTTCATTTACCTTTGGATTTTGGAAATCACAATTTCTTAATGGCCTTTCTTAGCAGCAATGAGTGATTTTACATGTTACACATACAATAATTTTTTGGATATACATCTTCGAGATTTTTTTCGATTTAAAATATTGCCATTGACTCGACTAGCATAGGTATTTTGATACAAAATCGAACTTTTTCTGAAATGACATGCCAAATTTTATTCCATATTTCGATTCTACGACTCAAATTATGCCTAAATATTAAATTTTGCAATTTTGGGTGAGTAATTTATGGAGAAATTTATCTTGGCAATATTTTTTCAATTTGCACCAAGAATAATACTTACTTCTTAATTTATAGCAACCTATTTTCCTTTCATTTTTCTTCATTGATCACTAGCTGAAAGAAAGGTCATCATTCATACTTTCAAATAATTTTCACAAAGTGCTTATCACATTTTCGTTATTATCGCTTATCATAAATACGTCAAATTTCAAAGCGCCCCAAAATGTAAATTCACGTATATCTTAGGAAATTTTGATAAAAAACTCTAATTTTTTGCAGGTATGCTTAGATATACATCTACTTTTAAGATGATGGCAAAGCTTTTATAGATAATAATTCAAGTATTTTTCTAAAAATTTATAAAAACTATTTAAAAATATAAATTTTAAAAATAAGTCATAAAAAATAGGCGAATTTTTATTTGAAATGAACCTATATTTCGAAATATGAAAGGACGAATTAAATAAGTTTAATAAAAAGGAGATATTAATAAATATATATCAAATTAAATTAATATTGAGGAGCTAAAATTTTCAGAGCTAATTTTTAAAAACTATTCGTGCGAATTTTACAGAACTTGGCAGTTTGGCGTAATTTTAGTCGTAAAATCGGATTGTGGAAAAACATTGGCATGTCCTTTCAGAAAAAGTCCGATTTTGGTCCAAAATACCTATAGAATAACGCTATATATAAATCTAATACATATCCTAAGTCCCGCTTTCGAAACATGAAAAACACAAGTTGAATTTCGTCAATCGGAACAGTAGAACGGGAGCTATAGAACTGTCTTTTTTTTTTTTTTAATGCGCAGTGTATCATGAAAACATTTTTCTGACTACATCTGGTTGTTGAGGAAATTAACATCTTGTTGCTACATTCTAAAGATTTTAAACGTAAGAGTTCATCACGCGACATCAGTCTTTGACTCCTACAGGTTGGCGAGTGAAATGATACCATTCATAACATCGAAAATTAAACTAAAAAGTCTAAACGTCTTAAAGAGAGTATTATAATTATTTTATTTAATGTTAGTTATTTTTTTGTTATATGTATTTTATCAGTTAAATTTTACCGTTATTATGACGTTACATAACTACTGAATTATACCTGACTTTCGAAAAAAATGACTACAAACTTTGCTCTTTAATAATTTATATTTCCAAATACAAAACAAGATAGAAACTTCATGAAACAGGGATAGAAAATTTTATAAAATAATCTGAAACTTTCAGACTTTATATTACGCCCAAAGGGGCATTTTTTCATTTATATACACGTACACGTTTCGAGAGCATTTGGGCTAATGTTCCTTTGAGCTAAAAATATATAAAAATTTCCGATAGACGTCTCGCACGCTTGAGATAAAAAAAAAATTCTATTCATGCGGTGTTGCCACTGCTCGCTTTGAAATCGTTGAGTTTGTTAACCAAAAATTCGTTAAATTTTGGAAGATTTGAAATACACAATAAAATATGGTCACACAATGTGGTCAAAATTAAAACCAAGCAATTTCAAACAATTTAAATTTTTGAAAAGTTTCGCAATTAAAAGTTTTATATCAAACACGGGGCTTTACTTCGGAAGAGCCAGATATATGTGAATTGTATATAAAGATCAGCTTATCTAAAAGTCATGATCACGAAATCAGGAAAGTTTAGGCTAATATTTTTAGTTCTTTGATTTCTTATTAAATTTCAAATATAAAAAGTTTTATATGCTCTGCTTCTATTGTATAAACCTAATCCCTGAATATGGAACTTGTTAAAGAATTTTCAAACGAAAAAAAAGTTCCATTTATTTATGATTTTATTATTATTTATTAGTCCAAAGAGGCAATTTGCCCAGAAGGACTATTAATTTCGTTTTGGCATTTTGCTTATAAATGTCGGTTCACTTTTCAAATTGTTGCCACCAAATATTATCGACCTGTGCTATATTTAAGGAAATTAAATAATGAATAATCTGCATAAACATATATACGAGTTTGTTTCTCGCATTGGGATAAAACAGCGGTACCTAGAGCCATCAAATTTTGAATAACAAAATCTTCCACCGAATATGGGCATCTGGAAGACCAACTTTGGAAGTTGAAATTTGTTTTATTATCGATTTTATATGTTGCAACACTTCAACGAATTTTTTATTAACAAACTCAACGATTTCAAAGCGAGTAACGGCAACACTTTACGCGAAAAGAAACCGTTTTTAGCTCCAGCGTGCGAGACTGTGTATCAGAAATTCTAAAGCTTTGCTCATTTTAAAATTATTTTGCGATATTGCAGTTGAATTGAATTTTATGGTTTAAATGCAAAGTACATGATATTTAACAAGTAAAGTTAACACACAAAATGTTAAAATAACGCCCCTTTGGGCGTAATGTAAAATCTGCAAGCTTTTCAGATTTTTTTTTTTTTTTTTAATTTAAATGTCATGGAAAATAAATAATTTCTTTAAAAATCTATCTTCAATAAATTATTGTAAATAATATTAATAAATTAAAATAAGTGTATGTGTATCTATTCTTGCGTATCGCATATTCTGCATCGTAAAATTTTACTTAAAATGTATGTCATGTCAGCTAATGTCAACTGTCGTTTATTAGCATTATGTATCTTTAATATAAAGAAATTAAACTTTATAAGCTAAACTCAGAGCACAAAATTTTAAGAAAAATTTTAACAGGAGAATAATTAAATTGTAATATATTTGTATAGTTAATAGTCATAATAATATGCGTATATTTATTTATAACTCCTTTCATTTGTTAAACACTCAGAGTTCATTTTCTTCTTATGATCAATAAGGTCGGTATTTATTATATATGCATGATGAAAAAGCATAACAGACGCATACATCATATAATAATTTATGTTATACGGTTTTATATGACTTAAGTATATTGATATGCAAAGATTTATCGTCCAGTATTGGTATATTCCGTTTTTGTGACTCATGTATTACACGTACATACACACACGCTGCATATATTACACAGACTTCTATGATTTGTTGACGCAATATGTTAATTCAACCTTATGACAGTATGTTTTCCTATTACCTAAGATATGAAGTTACTCAAATCGTTTCATGATTCAGCTCATGTAAATAATGTAAAATTTATAGGATATAATTTCCTAACAAATCTCAGCTGAAATTCAGTAATTATACATGGTTAAGAATATACATAACGAAGAACTTGCTTGAGAGGCTACTTGCTTTAAGAATATGCTTACACATTATTTTCGGAACCATTAACAACATTAACAACATATGCTCAATGATTCAGATTTACATACCCTAATTTTAAATTCCTTACGAACTATGATTTAGAAATGTATGAACTAACAAACTATATGTATCTTTTACATGTGATATTATTTTTTTTTTGTAATCATAAACAAATATTTAAATAAATATTGTCAAATATTCAGTAAATTTGCAATGTTAAATTTGTCACTAAAAACATGTAACTCTCAAATGTGACATTCATAGTTTTTAACTGAAAATCTACTTTAAATATGATTACGTAACTAATAAATAATAATAAACTCAACTGTACAATACTGTCTTAACGCTTTCTGTCATAAACTGTTTATTAGTCTGCCATCCCATTCTTCCTATTTAATGTATTAAATACATGTTTTTATGTATAATTTTCATAAAAGGTCGCTATTTTAGTATAAATTCACATAATATACAATATATCCATTTCAGTATGCTCAGCTACAAAATCACACATATGTGCTTTTAGTACAGAACGCCATATTACGTATGACGATAGACCTGCATATATATTTTTTGTAAAAGTGCAGGAGCATTACTTTCAATAATAATATCATAAACATAATTCCAGTAACATTCAGCATAGCCTACGGTCAAACCGCAAACAAAATTGACGGTATCGTCCATACGCAGTCCTAACCTCTATCACGTGCGTCATAGTTCGCAGACTATCGCCTGCCAGACGAAAAGCAAAACACGGACTCACCTGTCTGCCCCTTTCCCAGAGTCTTCTCTATTCGGTAGGGCCCCACGTACTGGTAATGGTGGCCCTCTCCGCCCACAGCGGGCCCTTCCCGCTGTGACGTCATGACACCCGGGGGCCCCTCAACTCTTCAACAACTCACTAGTTCACTCGTGCCATGTGGTGCCGCAAATAGTAATCCAGAGTGGCACCGGGTGGTGTTTTCGTTTGCCGAATTGCTGTCCGCCATACTGCGTGGGGTGTAGAGAGATCAATCGATGGTGGCTCGCTTGCTGTGGCTCGGTCGGGGAGAGAGAGGAAGATGACGTGAAGGGAAAAGCAGGCGCCTGAGCTCGCCCATTCAAGTCGTGGGGCGAGCAAGACGCAGGGTTGCCATAGCTCCTTGGCGGAACCTGACGGTGTTTTGAAACTCGCCAAAAAGCAGAACGTTAAAACGATGATGGACAACCTCTTTTCGATAACCCATTTCGAATGAAAACAGGAATCATCGATGGCGCTTTAAAAAATTACGACGTTTCATCATAATTTATGGAGTGAGGGAGAGATTACCTGAAAACGGCACGTTTCTTGCAGAACAGACTACAATAGGTATCTGAGTAACGCGGATTTGAATTGAGCGACTCGACTTAAACGCAGATTTTGTTTTATTCTAACAAACTTAATGGGGTTAAAAAAAAAAAAAAAAAAAAAAGACTGAAAATCAACGACAGTGTAAAAACGAACTTAGAAATGATCGAGTGGCCTAAAATTATTTTTAAAAAATGACATATTTTCTTTTACGTCGTGGATGCGCAAAATGTATATAAATACTAGTATGTTTTATCATTTATTAGCATAAAATATAATGAAATCCATTGCATAAACCTTTTCAGTTCTGGTGTTTAACTGAAGTGCAACCCTGATGAGTACAGTGGTTAATAACTCCGGCTGCCGTACTAGTGGGCCTGGGTTCTAATCCCGGAGAAGGCATGGATGTTTGTAAGTGTATAATGTGTGTATACTTAAAGGAGAGGCACACAAAATACCATCGAGCCAAAAGTCCTTTCGAGTGGTATGGTGGTATGAGAAAAGGAACGGGAGATCCTCTATCCGTTTGTCGGAGAGTTCTCCATATAAACTTGGGCAGGAGCTGCACAGCTAGTGCGGTGAGATTATATCTTTCTCCTGTATGATAAATAGTGAAATTATTGTTCCGTCCAATTGTACCTGTACCTGTTTAGTTAAAGTATTAAATATAATACATATTTTTTTTTATTTTGTTTCTTAAAGTATTCCTGAATTTGCATCTTAAGAAAGAAAACAGAAATTATTCAAGTTTCTCACTTTTAAGAAATGTATGAAAACATTCTTAACGTTGATTTATAATGATGAGGAGATTTCACAAATGTTTTCACTTTATTAGTAGTAATTCTGGAGACTTGATAATTGTCTATTAGCTTAACGTAGACATGCACAAGATTTTATGAAATGAGTTAGAAGATCACTTTTAAGATAAACTCACTTCGGCAAACTTGATAACTAGCATACTATCTTCTCCTTTATATATAGGGTGAAACCTTTTCGTTCGCCTGGTTTTGCAGTGAGATATATCACGGATCTTTGCCTGAAACGCCATTCTTAAATGAATTAAATCATATTTGTTTACTCTGTAAGGTATTTCTCCCGCCTTCTTAGCATGCCTTTGTAGTGTAGTGGTCAGCACGCTCAGCGCGTATTCGAGAGGCCCGTGGTTCGAGTCCTGCCAAAGGCGTTGCTTATTTTTCCTCTCTTCTGCTTTCCAAAAATACCTGATATCTCTAAAACTCTTTGAGGAATTTATTGTCTATATTATACATATAATGGAATTTTGTGTATTACAAACTGCGACTTGGTGCTTACAGTTATGTTTTTTTTTCACTAAGATAGTTCTCTTTTACGCTTTATATTCTTCCATTAAACAAGTCTTCTTTATTGTTCTTATTGTTAGCATACTGTGTTGCTAAAAATAAACATTTTTACTCACGTACAGTTTGGATCGAAGGAATTATTCACAACATGCTTTGTTATGCGAACTTTGTTAAAATCTCTTTCCTTTCAGAAAACTTTCAGTGCACATCTACCTAAAGGAAAAGCCTAATTGAAAAATAATTACATTCATTTATCTTTATTTGTTGAAAAACAATTATATCGCTACCAAATATGCTGAAACAGATAATCATAAAGGATGCTTCAAATATTATAAAATCTCTGAAGTTTGTAAGATTCTAGCTAAATTATAAGATTCTTTGCAGAATTCTAGCTAAATTAATTGTGTTGGCTAGATCTTTACTTGAACTGTGAAGGGTCTGTTCGCTAATTCGGACTGTATCAATGAGAAGATGTGAAAAGGGTGAACAGACCCTTTTATTCAACTCAAGAAGTAATTTACAGATAACCCTCCTGGTGCTTACAACTTAGCCATACTTTTGGATGTAACTCAAAATATAAATATAAAATTAAGTTAAATAATCATGTTCATGTAGAAGTTCAAAGGGACACCCAGTGTTTCCTATGAGTAAATGGGTATAGTCTAATTGCACTTCCATTATTTATTAAAATTTAGGACATATGAGTTACATAATACACAATTAAGAACATAATAAAGAGATTACAAGAAATGTTAACTGTCGGTGCTACTGATCTTACATACTTTGAATAAATATCCAGTTGTTTTATAATACTTAGAATATTTTATACTAATGTTTTGTGAAAAATAATTTAGCATATAACAATGAATTACGTAATAAAAGGATAAAAGTTAAATTGTAAAGATTCTGTAATGTGTATTTTAAGTTACAGTTGAATGTCAAGAATCTTACGAACTAGTAAACGAATAATCGCTTAAGTTTGTGAGACAGTAAATAAACTTGGAAAGGATTAAAAGACCTTTTATTATTCAAATAAGATTTAACAGAACTCCGTCTTGGAGTTTTACAATAAATCCGACACTCGGGCTTGAACTTAGGAAACTAAAAATTAAAACGTAACTAATCTGAACTAAAAGGATATAGCCGATGCTATCAAGATTCTAACGGAGGTGGCCCCTTAACTATAACTGACAACGAAGCTATTAAGAGTCTAAAGCATGGCCGAAAGTAAGAATAGATTAAAAGAGAGTAACCTAAAAAGGCGAACGCGTGCTAGCCAGAATCTCTGGTTCTCTCTGACTAAGACAGTAGAACTTCGCGGTCAAATACCGCTCTTCCTCATTAGCATTCAAACGTGATTCTGAAACTACGTTCTGGCCAGAAGTGGTAAGTTGAAATTAAGAAGCGATAGGAAAGGAAGTTTAACTCAAAATTTAACCGTTAATAAGCTTAACATAATCCTTACAAAATAATCAGCCGAAGCTGCACAGAGATAATTAAAGCGAGTTGGCTCTTATGCCTTACCACCGACGTACACAAACCGGCAATTAATATGCACGGCCGTAAAATAGCAAGTGAAATAACGTGGCTGAACAGCAGAACACGCTGTGTCCTAAGTAACTCATATATTAGCTTAAGTAGTATTTTTTTTGCTCTACCTTGCATATCACGAAAAAATGAAATAACATTCTGGCAGGAAATGGAAATGAGAGAAAACAGAAAAGATACGCAACTGAACAAAACTAGTTAGTTTAAAACTAAAATACCGTTTCTTATAATTTCATAAATTTCGTTTGCTAAATGCAAACTTTTTATCATTTTTGAATGTTTTCAACGATTATGTTAATACAAACTTGAGATTTTGTCTATACAACCATTTTAAAGATTGTAAGAAAATGGAAGGAATTAACTCACATTTAATACAGGTCAACTCGTTCGAAAAGTCCATAAACCCAATTTGGTAAAATAAGCGTGATTGTATCAAATGATTTGCATAGTCAAGTGCATGTTTAAATGACTACTTTAAAATGCTTAAGCAATTTTCCAATCATATTCATGCTGTCCAAATGCTCCTTAACTGTTCCTCAAATGAATAACCTTTCTCCTCAGATATCAGCGCCGACTGATGGTGATACTGCCCAAGCTGGGAAATAGTGGTGCAGAACAATCTGAGATTTTTATTTATATAACGATCAAAATTGAAAATGCAATAAATCCACATTATGGAAATAAATCTGCCCTACATTAGATAAATATTAAAAATTATTCTTAGTTAACCGAATGATAAGTAGCACAAATCTATCTAGCATTATTATTTTCGAAGAAATTATTCAAAATCATTGATATAATATATATTTTCATAGCTATATTCATATATTAGACAGAAATGCGTTATTGTTACAGTTCTCTTATTTTTCAAATTAGTTGTTAAATGGAATCAGTCTTTCCTTCTCGAGTTAAAGGAGAAAACATTTATCTCTGCTACATACACTTAGAGAAAAGCTTCAAAAATTTATGTCTAGGGTTTTCAAACTCAACAGTTAACTATATTCTGAAACAATTCTCTATGTGTTTGCTGTATTTGCGTGACCTCGTTTAATGTGATAATTTGAAGTATTCATGATATATACCGATTCGATTGTGTTTGGAAATATCGACAGTTTAACTTCTGCCGTTAATTTTAATATCCTTCATTAAAACGTAACTACATGAAATGCCCAAAAAATAAATCAGAAAATAGTCAAGGAATTAAATAATTCCCGAATGTCAAAGTATGAGATTATTGATTGTACCTATTTATACCTCTTTGCAATGCCATATCTACTCGACAATTCAACCAACAAGTTACGCTCGCAAAGTAGTATTGAGTCAGTCTCTTTAACAACTTAAAGTGTAAGACACATTTTATACAACAACAACGTAAACTATTACTCTATTTGTTACTCTGCTAAGAAGCTTGTGGAGTTCCACCCTTTTATCAACCAGCTAAATGTGTAAGGATCTCGTGAACAGCTAAGGGAATAATCGCTTTAGTTCATGAACAGAGACGTAAACTCAAGAAGGTTTAATTACCCTTTATTTCTCAAAATAAGAATTAAACAGTCGGCTCCTTTCTCAGAGTGTACAGCAAAGCCCCACTCAGGCTTGAACTCAAAGTAGTAAGAAATAAAACTTAACTAATGCTTAACTAAAGAGATATAGCAGAAGCTATGAAAATTCTACAAGAGTTGGCCCCTAAATGTTAACTAAATGGCGAAGCTATCAACGGCCTGAACAACGACCGAGCGTAGAAATAGCTTAGAGAGACGTAACCCAAAGGCAAACTCGTTCTAATCAAGAATCCTCACTCTGTCGAAGTCAGTTGAACTTGACTTAAATACTATTCTTCTTCGTATTT